ATTTTGAACCTTCTGGGCGTCTAAAAGATGCTGTTATGGACGAAAACGTCAAAAAATCTAAATAGTATGATAAATCGAAGTTAAGGTAAAATCTGACACTTATAAATATTTAGGTAAGTGAAAACTCAGAGCAGATAGGGTACCTTATGAGTTCAGAGCCGACAAAAAATAATAACGAATTCTGAGCACTGTTTGTTTTATTAGGATTCTACTCGGACTATAATTTCAGGACTGAAACTTTCTTGGATTTGGTTGAATCGTGAGTTAATGGTCAAGTTATTTCGTCACGTATATTAGATAAAGATATTAGTTCACTACGGTGCCAGGCAGACTGTTTAAGAATCTTAGCATCAAGCCAGCACATTTGAGGGGGCTGGAAGAATGCTTAGCGGTGGCGAAGCGAAGCATGAGAAAGAATCCAACGAGAAATTTAAGAAAATCGCTAATCGAGCTGACTCAATAGAGCTGGGGTGTGTAATTGTAGTAGGGAAGATGTCCTCCATGATCTCCATTGCACCCTCGCGCTGCTTGACTTACGTCGTACCGACCCCTCTATTCAACCAACTAACCGAAGCATTAAACTTCTATCGGATTCCATTTATTCGTCATATGAAACTGGATTTTCAAAGAATATGTCTTTAAAATACAATTTTTTTATCACATTTAAAACAGTATCTTAAGTAATTTTAGGCTTATCAATCAGGCTTATTTTTCCGAGTATTCTCATTCATTATAGAGTTTGAACTGAAACCCATTTAATTAGTTTCACCGACATTTATATTCCTAATCGATTCATATTTGAGCTGGAGCTGGCAAACCTGATGATTAAATAGCCTGATGTGTAAATAACTCTTAAAAAATTATATTTTTCTTGCTGTACTTCTTAAAAAATATCAACGTCCAGCAACAAATCTGGAACAGACTCGCTGTTTACGATAAACATCAGTTAGAAAAATCCTGAGTCCATCAAAAAGAGTTGTGGAGAACGCTATTACCTCTCTAAGACTGTTCCGTTCGGATTAATGGTTGAACAGACACTGTTGAGGCCAGTTTTAAACTGTGTGACTTAAGTTCTCTCAGTTCTTATTATTGGATAGATTTGATTCATTTGAATCAGCCACTGGTACATATTATAAATTTTGGTTTATTTTCCTGTTTACTTCCAGCTTTGCAATTGAGTGCCACTTTGAATTACTCGCGAGTGGCACGAAGTATTTTGAATACATACATGTGTAAAGTGCAGCCTGAATGATGTCTGTTCGAAAGCGTTTGAGGCAACGGAAATGCGCTGCTGTAAAGGAAATTGTAGGGAAGGAAAAGGAAATAAGCGGAAGCAGGCGTAAGCCGGCTACAAGCACAAATTTTCAACGCAAATGCATAATGATAACAAGGCGAAAGGGCAAGCAGTGCAAAAAAGAATACTGGTTAAATAATAAACTGGCATAATCACCAGGCAAAAACACAAGTTTGAGTGGATAAATGGAAAAAAAACACATACAACGAAGGAGCCGAAATGTGCAGAGCGCAATTTTGTTGCTTCAAATGCTTTTTCTTTTCAATTTTACGCGTTAGCGCTCTCTGCTGGTTAGATATTTGCTTAGCGCCTTTAGCTTTGCTTTCATACTCCTAAGTGTTCCGTTCTTGCTGCCATGCTATTTTATGGCACAATTTGACTCATTATCCTAGCTGAGGCAGAACGATGACATCCACAATACAACGTCCTTGTGCGGAAGAGCAAGCGGGTAGCAACAAAAACATGACAACTCATGTGTGTATGTAAGAATATAAGAATATATATACCAATAATATGTGTATATATAAGATACTGAACTTGCTGAAAGGAAAAAGCGCCAACGGTCGCTGGGAGACAGTGCGCCGGCGACGCGGCAAAACGTGGCTTGTTCCAAGTAATAATATTAAATAAGAAATAGAATAGAAAGCGAAGAAATGGAACGCGTTTTGGCAAGCGGAGCAAAATAGAAACATAAACAAGCGTAGCATTCACTTCGTTACACGGTCCTTTAAGGATATCGCAGACGGAATTGCCACTACCTTGAATGCTATATATGTATTATATATAAGTATATATGTATATGTAGATATACATATTATGTATGACTGGTGGCGAAGTGCCTGTGTGTGGTTGTGTCTTCATTTTTTTGCAGGTTATTGGCCTATTTGGCGTTTTTGACTGCCTGGCTGTGCCATTCGCGCCACTCGTTGATGATCTTTATGATTCAAGAAATGAAATGAACGCTTAGCACGCTCGCCTCCACAATCATGTGCATGCACACTGCGGAACATATGCACTAGCATACATACTACACATCATATATTACATACATCATAGATATATGTATATACTTATGCACAGACCATAAATAGCAAATCTACAATGTCGTTAGGCGCATTTACGCACAAAATTACCATGAAAATGAAAATAATAGCGAAATGAAAACGATTCGAATAAAACGCACAAGGAAATAAAAATAAAATTGAACATAAAAATGAAAATGAAAATAAAAGTCATAGGAGAATCAGAATGGAAATAAACAATTGAAAATCATCGTCAAATAGTAAAATAATAATACAAAAGCAACAACAAGTATATCATAAGTGTAGATAATCATGTGTAAATTTCCTGTTATATACTCCACCACCCTTATCAGCTGTATGTACACATATGTACATACACCATACTTCTGATATAAGATTAAATTTTAAAAAAATTTCCCTTATATTTGCAACAAGGCTGTAAAATTATTTCACTTAAAAATAAAGTAAATTAGAAAAGTATCCAAATCGTAACAAGTAAAAAAGTTCTAAGTTCAGATGTAACCGAACATTTTATACTCTCGTAACTTACAAGTTTGTGTGTTTAGTGCTTGATTTATCGCGCTTTTAGTAGTTTTCAACAGTACTGTTATATGGGGAGTGGGCTGGGTTGCCACCCGATTTCACCCATTTTCACACTGTCGGTAGAGGTGCTAAAAGCATTTGTTCTCAAAGAGTTTTGTTATTATAGCTTGAGCGGTTTAGGAGATTTGTACATTAAATCTATTAGGGGGCGGGACCACGCCCATTTAAAAAAAATTTTAACTTCAGATGCCCCTCCCTAATGTGATTCTGTGTATCTTATATCTTATTGCGGAGTATAGTTATGGCAATTTATTTGTTTTTGATTAATGGCGTTTTGTGGGCGTGGCAGTAGCCCGATTATGCCAATTTGCAATACCAACCGTCTTCTGATACCAAGAAAAAAGTGAACCAAGTCCCATAAAGATATCTCAATTTTTACTCAAGTTACAGCTTGTACAGACGGACAGATAGTCACCCAAATTTCAACTCGTCTCTTCATCCCGATCAATTATATATATAATATATATATATATAACCCTATATCTAACTCGATTAGTTTTAGTACAACCGTTTTAATACAAACAACCGTTAGATGAACAAAACTATTATATTCTGTTATTATAATTGAAACAAAAATGTAAAGGAAACAAGAAAAAACGTTAACTACGGTTGCACCGAAGCTTTCATAATTAAAAAAGGTTATATATCTCTTTAAATAAAATAGTTTTTAATGCAAAAACTTGATTCCGAGCGTTCAGTTAGTATGACAGCTATATGCTATAGTGTTCCGATATCGACGGTTCGGACAAATGATGCTTCTTGGGAAGAAAAGATGTATGCGAGAGCAATGTCTCGAAAACTAAGGAACTAGTTCGCGTGTAACCGGGCAGACGGACATGGCAAAATCGCCTCAGCTCATCATTCTGATCGTTTATACTTGTATATACATATATTCTATAAGGTCTTCGACATTTATATAGGGTATCCAACGCTCAGTGTATAAAAAGCCAATATAATAGTTTAGCCGAAATTTTGCGACGTAAGGTTGACTTAGGTTACAGGTTTTTAAATTATATACCATATATATTATGCAAAGCAAACTGGCAAAAATAGTCTATTTCCTACAACGATATGTGAATTTACACCGATTCTTGGAATATAACATTAATCGAGTGACCTCACAATCGAGCATTGGGAATTTATATCTCTTTGCTGATATTTAACTTACTTATTGGAGTTCTTAGGACTTTATGGCACTGTTCGGACTGAATGTTTGACTTGAGATTGTCAATTTTGATACATCAGTATAACCTAACATTTTGAACATGCAATGCTATCTCGTTTACCGAATATTGGGGAAATTCGTCAGAAAATAAGAGATATCTCATATAAAGTTAATAAAGAGTATATGTTGGATAATAAATTAAAATAAGGTGCAGTATTGAAAGTATTTTAAATATAATATAAGAATGCATGAAATAATCAGGGTTGTCAGGATTTTGATATATAACAACTTTTTGGGAATTTTTTTTTTTTTTTTTTGACAAGATATATTCACGAAATTTGGCCAAGGTAATACTACAATATCGCTTTTTTTAAGCTGACTGCAAAACATACCGCTTAAAAGTGATTTCTTTACTATAAAAAAAAATGAGTTTTCAAATATATTTTCTAACGAACTATTAAAATTCTATGAGTTTATAAAAATGTGTGTGATATTAAATAAAATTTTTGATTTAAGTATTCAATTACATATTTGTTTATTTAAATGCAATTACATCCTTTTTTTTTACATTTTGCTGATAAAAATTCAATTTCTGCCTAATTATATACATATGATTTTTGCCATAAAATTCGTAATGCTTTTAATTATTGTCAAAAATGAATAAACATAGGTTGATTATATAATTAAAGGATTACAGCGATAATGTTACAAATAAAGAATGCAAATGACTGAGGTATTATTTTTAATTGTCGAAATGGAGAATTGTTAATTACCGGCATACATATGTATAAGTATTAAATATATAATACATTAAATTTCAACTTCTCTAGCAGCAGTTAAATTTAAAAGGTTTAAGGAAAAAGTTTTCGATTGATAGTTAAGATTTGCTGGAAAAATAGTTTGCACAAGTACTTACAAGTATTCGTATCTGATGCCTCGCCAAAATATAACTGAAAATAGAGAATTAAAATTTTATTTATTTTACATTATTAATTGTGCTACAGGAGTCCAAATTCACTTGAACTAATTTTAATATAAACAACGTCATATGTACAATATGTATTTATAGAAATGTATCGCAATTAATACTTTATTAAATTCTAAAAACTTTCTAGTGACCTTCATTTCATAAGCCATTGCTTTCATGAATTGAGAAAATCGATAACTTCTAACAAGCCTAAACCCACACAAGCATATAATATGTAGACCCGAGCACACAACATACATGCACAAATTTCAAGTGAGTAGTACAAATCAACTCACAGCGCCTAAATGCATACCAGGGGCAGTAGAGGTAATCAGAACAATCTTTACGCTGATAAGCACTGACAGCTACTGTAGCACCAGATGGACGCCTGAAGTCACTACTCGCATACATATATACACTCGGTTCACTCGGTTGCATTTGATTAAAAATTCCAATCTATCACATTGCCTGTCAGTGGTAGAAAATTTAATTTTTCAATATTAACAGTTACCCCCTGTGGCTGCATCCCCAAGCGGCAGCTAAGGTGTAAATGCTAGTTCAGATGTGAATTTGTTGGTGCCGATATTGGATTAAATGAAGGGATCACCAGCATTTCAAGTGGAATTATGGATATGATTACAGTAATGCTGCCCACGAGGGCAAAGCCGACAGACTGTATGCTAGAAACTGACAGCTAGGCGCACATATAACGGAGTGCCAATATGTATGTGCATATGGCAAGTATAAATGTATGGTATGTACTTAGGTATAGTCCGCAGTTGTATTTTCGCAGTTCATTGCAATTTTTGAATGGCTCAAGGCATATTGGAATAGTTGATTCAAATGACATGAAAGTAACGAGATAATCTATGCTGGCTGACCCACATACAAATATATTATTTTTATATATCTCCAAATGCAAAAATATTAGAAATATATAGTATAATGAGAGAAATATCAATTTGTAGTAAAGTAACTTAACACCATAAAGCTCACGCTCCACTTTCTGAACATTTTAAGACAATACTTTTTGTTTGAAATTCTTACAACAGCCAATCACACATACTTACACAACAAGATCCGCACATTACTAGCGTAGACAATATCGGGCAAACAAAATTATGAAGAATACGTCATAATAGAAAACCAGATTAAGGTCAATATCATAAGTTGCCGACTCTGACAAGCAGCACAACGGAGAGCAACGTGAAAACGGGAAGATTAAATACTTTCAAGGATTTTACAGCGTCAGGACAGAAATATTTTGAAATTAGTTCACAGAAATACAAAATTTACGATTTTTATAAAAATTGTTGCTATAATTACAAGACAATTTGAATAAAAATCAAAGCAAAGAGAGGAGAACTTCAAAAACTACAAACATATATACCTATGTATGTATTAACATAACATTTGTATTCACTGTCCTGCTAATGGGACCAAACTTTGGTTTAATAGGTGTTTGCTGTGGTAGTGGTCAGATTTTTAACCATATTACCAACTCCTTGAAACTTTAAGGACAAAATATAATGCTGGTTTCAAAAATTATGACATAAAAAAGAGATGCCCTAAACAAATCCCGCAGGGTGTTTGAGAGAAGAAACAAGTTTTAACCAATGCTTCCAAGTCTAGAGACAGCTTAACGCAAATGATTTTCGATCGATCTTAGCCTCTCCCGAGAGCAGCGGGGTTAGACTCAAAGGTGTCTAACATGTTGTTAATAAAACCATAACTATGTGTAACGTATTTACCGCGGTTTCAATGCGTTAGCGTAGCGTCAATTAAGACAAAAAACTGTTTTTTGGTACTATATATCTTAACTTTAAATTCCAAATGATTATATCACATCACAGTATGTACATATATGAACCGAGAGCTAATGACATTATCGAAAACAGCACCATAACTTTTCAAGAGCCCGTATACAGAATATATGGGCCTCAGTGCTGATCTTTTATAGATATTATTGCTCAATCTGTGAGGTACCCTAATGAAAGTCGAACAATATCGCTTTTTGGAAATAATATGTTGTGATGCCAAAAATGGATACCATCAGTTATATAACTCCCCTAGCTCCATATACCGAATAGAAAGATTTTCGAAATTCCATTTGACTTTATGCCGTATATATAATATAATATATGTAAGTCAATATTTGAGATATGTTAGAAAATTTAGGGAACGTATAATATTGGATATACCATAGTTTAATACCGAAAATATATTAAATCGATCAACGAATTAATCGAATCAGTCTAGCCTCTGCCTTAGCCCCATTATACCCGATATAATGATTTATGACTTTCCATCTGACGCTAAACCGTTTCTGTTGATTAATATGTGTGACATAATGAAACTAAGTAAACAAGCCTTCTTAAAAATGATGTGGCTTAGCGCTGAATATAAATAAAATCGGTCTCAGACTTTGGATCAAACATCATATATCTAACGGGATGATTACCGACCCTTTGGTTCTTGTTTTCCTGACTTATCCAATACATTAAATTAGGCCCGCTTGGTTAAGTTTACATCACATATATCTTATTTGAAGTTTATATTAATCTGGGCCATGAAGCAGAAAGTAGTAATGATATTAAATGTTTACGACCTATAATATAAGATTATACGATACCAAATACTTAATCCATATATAATATTCATATATAATATCGTAGAAAGCGAATATTGAATACTTTCGCGACATGTTTTTTAACATAAAATACCTGAAATGTAGCCTTTGCGTTGATCTTTGAAAAATGCGAGAGTATAAAATGTTCGATTTCACCTACACTTAGTCTCACGGAAAGTAAGTGAAATTTATGTTCATCTAAACCTTTTCTAAGAATGAGAAAGTCTCAAGAATATGTCTCTTAATCTATCGCTAAACGGGCTCCAATGTATCATTATCAGCTGTTCTTGGGAGAAATAACTGAATTTCATCCACTCTATCGGTTAAGGTGAGTATCTAAATGGAACAGAATTACTCTTATAATTAGCATATGTGTACCTCATGCAAATTTTAAGATTCTCTTTAGCTTAGCTCTTCAATACTTGTTAGCCTTTTCGTCCAATTTTAATATAGAGTATCGTTGTATATACGGATTATTGCATACAGCATCTACAAATTGAGATGACAACTCGCTCGCTTTTGACAGCTCGTTGTCAGTGTGTTGAGTAAAGTTTGCCATTTCATCATATCACTTTTCACTTTAGTACAAAGTTTGGAAATTATCAAAGTTTATTGAGCAACTTCACGTTCTCCGAAAAATTTACGAATTTATGTTCATCGAAAAATTATTTTTTTCAGATGAGGTCCATTTCGTCAACAAACAAAATTGTCGTTATTGTGGTGAGTCAAATCCTTTGTGTGATTCAGGAAATGCAATTACATTCCCTTTCTGGGGTCTGTTAAAACAAAGACTTACGCCAATCAACCAACAACTCTGGTGGAGCTTGAGACAACATTCAGCGCACTATAGCCGAAATTCATTCATCCAAATCATCAGGTCATCCAAAATTAGCCGAAATATGCAATCAGAGTCTTGGTGGCCATTTTACTGACATTTTGTTTCAACCTTAAATTGCATAAAATTATCTGCATAACATAAAAAAAAACTATATTGTCCAAACTTGAGTTTTACATCACGTCGTCGTTCTTGTTGATAGACTCTGTCGGGTCCAGATCCATCTGAAATGGAACGATTCAGTCTCTTTTATTCCAATGTGCACAGTTGATAAATTTTCATTTGACATTTTCATTTTTCAGATCAAATGGCAGCTGCATATTAGGACTATTATGAAATATAGAAAATAAGTTAAAAAACTGAGAAAGCGTAAAAAGGTCGCACATTTCCGAAGTATTCCGATATTAGTTTCTCTTTGAAACTACACACAAGTGGAACCATAAAAGTTTCTGCCTTTTATGCCGCAACAATACGTTGCCAAATTGTGTTAAGCACAAAAAACGAACGCAAACAAACAAACAAAGAAGCAAGAGAAATGAAGAGCAGCAGAAAACAGATTGGCAAAGTGAACTTTACTGACACCAGCCACCGCAAGGAAGTCGGGGATTGTCTGATCGACGCCCTTTGGCCGCTTTGCATGGATAGTAATTTAATAATTTACTTTTCTTTTGGCCATTGAAAAGTGTGGCAACGCCGGGTCGACTTTTGCAAACTGACAAAGCAATTTGAGCGCAACTGTTTGTGGAAAAACGCAACGAAAACATCGAAAAGTTTCTAAATGACAAAATGTTCTTAGCACATCTACTTATTCTTATTTCGCCTTCAAATGGAAACTCGCCACATACACTTATGTATATGCATGTATGTGTGTAGAGTTTCAAAGTTGTCTTTTGAGTTGTTTTTATTGTTGCACAGAAGTGCAGCACAAACAATCGAATTGACACATATTGAGCGTATTTCCGTTTCCATTCGATTTACGAATGCCAACAACCGAAAGTTTCAGCTGATATCGCTCGTCTTCCATATTCTACTCCTTCGTGTTACATTATTGTTTTGCATATAGCAGTTGTTGTTTCTTTTTCTTTATACTTTGATACATTTTCAACGATTTGCCGCTACTTGCTTTTGGTTTTTTCTGCATTAGCGTAAAAAGTTTCTAAACAACGGTACTAATGGTCGCAGTGAAATGGAATTTGTTTGCTCACCCATTTAAAATTAAACAATAATAACAACAACACAATCAGAACTAACAAGCCGAGGGTAAAGGACGCTTAGACTCATATATTTAAATGTGACCCGTTGGAAAATATAGTAGATCGGTTCTTTTTATACCCTGAACGGGTATATTAATTTTGCCAAGAAATTTGTAACACCCAGAAGGAAACGTCGGAGACCATATAAAGTATATATATAAATGATCACCGTGACGAGCTGAGTTGATTTAGCCATGTCCGTCTGTCTGTCCGTCCGTCCGTCTGTCCGTCTGTATATACGCGAACTAGTTTGCTGTTGCTTTCAA